TTTCTTTGCAAAACTTTTGAGGAAGTGTCTATATACAAAAAAACCACTAAATTCTTAACTAAAAATATGGATGGTATTTGTAGTATCTTCTAACTTCACCATCACGGTCATGTCACACTATCATATACTTTACTCTCTATCATGACGGCTACTAGGAAGACAGTATCATGGACCAGTTAAGACTCTCAGGTCAAATTGGATGCATTTTATTCCCTACTCTAAAATGTCCTAATTAGTCCATGTATCTCTGGCAGACCAGACTCTACCAGCAGCTTCACTAGAGAGAGATGGGCAGTTATCCCATTACTCTTTACAGCCTTGGAAACCTAACAGGTTATTGTCAGAACCGACCTCAGTTTGAGTCTGAAGGAGTTTAGGTAAGTTTGTTGTGATGAAGTCTTCTACCAAGTAGGGATGCTCCTATCTAACTGTACAGTCTACTGACGCAGCTAACAACATTTCTAAATGTGGTATGTACTCACCTCCTTGCCTATCACCTGCTGTGTGTTTGCGACAATCAGAATGTATCTTTCCTCTTTCCTTTTCCCTATTCATTCCATCTGCAATACCACATCTCCTCCTATGTGCCTTACAGCCTCTGGAAACAGTCTGGAAGGTCAGCTACGAGTCAGTTCCAACTCAACAGCAATAAGAGTGTGAGAGAATCCGCACATATTTCTGCCTGAACACGCACGCCCTCACTTCCTGGTACTCCATTGCCCTGTAATTTCCATCAAAGCACTTATAGCCCATGATGTGGTTTTGGTTTTCTTAAAGGTCCAAAAGGACCCTAATTAATTTTTAGTATCATCACCTACATGTTGTACAGATTATCCGGGAGGCTGGGCTCCATGAGGAGAAATGTGGGGTCAAGATTGGTGGACGATTTATCAACAATCTGCATTATGTGGATGACACAACCCTGCTTGCTGAAACTGAAGAAGACCTGAAGCGCCTGCTGCAGAGTGTCAAGGACTGCAGCCTACAATATGGATTGAGGCTCAATGTCAAGAAGACAAAGATTCTCACCACTGGACCAATTGGCAGCATCAGGATGGATGGTGAAGATACTGAGATTGTACACAGCTTTAGCTTGCTTGGCTCCACAGTCAACAGCCTTGGCACCAGCAGCCAGGAAATTAAAAGGTGCATTGCCATGGGAAAGTCTGCTGCTAGGGACCTCTCCAAAGTACTGAAGAGCAATGGTGTCTCTCTGGAGACTAAGGTGCGTCTGATACAGGCCATGGTCTTTGCAATCACTTGTTATGCATCAGAGAGTTGGACAATGACCAAGGAGGATAGAAGGAGAATTGATGCCTTTGAGCTGTGGTGCTGGAGAAGAGTATTGAGAATACCATGGACTGCTAGGAAAACAAACAGATTTGTCCTGGAAAGGGTTAAACCGGGTGGCTCCTTGGAGGCAAGGATTCTGAGGCTCCGTCTAACATACTTTGGACATGTTGTGAGGAGAGACCGGTCCTTGGAGAAGGACATCATGCTTGGGAGGGTGGAGGGACAGCGCAGGAGAGGAAGGCCCTGTATGAGGTGGATTGATTCAGTGACTGGGATAATTGGGATGGGAGTGTCAGAGACAGTGCGATTGGCACAGGACAGAGCGGAGTTTAGGGCTGCTGTACATAGGGTTGCGCTATAAGTCGCAAGCGACTAGACGGCATATAACAACAACAACAACATCATCACCTACACCTCATACCTAGAACATTCAAAAGAGTGCAATACACAACTCAACAATAATGACTTCTCTGAGAGTAGACAAATATAAAATGTACTAATCCTAAAAATCAAATTTTCATTATTTTTGAATCTTTTCTTTATAAAAATAGTTTCTGAGCTAATGTATAAGAAATGTCTAAATTGATGCCTGTACATCATGCCTGGAATCAAGCAACTCCGCCTTTAAATTACTTCATATATTTAATTTCATCATTTTCCATGTATAAAAGAGAGAGTGTTCTTTACATCAAAAGGAAAAGGAGAATAAGTATTACTACTTTTTAAAAATGCATTCTTGGAGCTATATAAATTATTCTTTTTAAAAATCATTTTAAAGCAGATTCAAACTAAAAAAATTTAAAGGTTTTCGATCAATGATAAGTTTGTTGAAAAAATAAATATCTCTTGTACCTTTAAGTATTTATCCTCATAGCAGAAAATAAAATTAAAAAAAGAAAGACCACTGGATTTTTGGCCTTCTTACTTTAAAGGAAAAGGGATTCCAATAACTAGTTACATCTGAATAAATGTAAGGACCAAAGAAACAAAGAAAAAGTGTCCAAGACATGAAATTGCTCCTTTGGCTAGGTGTAAGCAGAAAATACTAAATCTGTTTAAATATTCAAACAATTTACCACAACGTGCATAGTGAGTATCAGAATTAATCTACAACAGTTCTGTCTCCAAATATGTGAACCTCTTTCCCAGTCAGGCTCTTCTACATTTAAGAGAGAACGTCAAACCTCACTCTGATGAGATTTTCTAAAGCTAAAGCTCTGAGTTTAACTGTCTATCTTGAGTATTTCCACTGCAGGAAAAGAGAAGGAGCCTTTATCTCAGTTGCCCAGGACCGACTGGTATCTGACAGAAGACCCAACAAGAGTAGTACCCATTTCAGTAATGGGCATTCTTGAACTAAGAAGCCAGGCCAGCACAGCTGCACTTGGGAACCTTTTGAGACTACATTTGCTGCACTGCTTATGAGTTTCAATGGCAAACATGATAAGGAATGATCTTAAGAACTCCAGAGACACATATTTGAGGTGGTTTTGTAAGCAGTTTGCCCACGGCACCAGACATGGGTGGACAGCAGTCTCAGAAAGCAGTACAAGGAGACTCACCACCTTACTGATCATTTCTGCTTTGTTTTGGCCGTTAGAAAATTCAGCCACCTCTAGGAAATGTACACCTATGTTCCTCTAACTTTAGTACTAGCTTCACTTTATTCTATCCTAATTTTCTCATCTACTTACACTTGATTTTGATAGTTATTTTGGACTGTAAATACATCTATGATGTAAACCATCAGAAATCCTTTCTGAAAAGTGGTAAGGTTAAATGTCTAAGCAAAAGCATAAGCTCTCAAATAATAAAATATTTCATTTTCTCTGATGCCCTCTACTTGGCTATTCAGCAACTGGTCTTCTTGATATAATGTGATAGTTTAATAAAAATAAAATTAAAAAGTTGAACCTGCTTCCATATCATTTCTTTTACTTCATAATGGTTGAACTGTTATTCTTATATTCCATTTATATGTACGTGTCGTTTCAATGCATCACTTATCTATGTCCAAATTAAGTAAAACTGTTTAGTTTAGTAGCAAATCTGTACTTTTAAGAAAAATGATCTATGTGTAACTGAAGGGTCAATATGAAGCTTTGGTGGCCTAGTGGGTAGGGAGTTGCACAGCCAACTGCAGGTATACAGTTGGAATCCAACATCTACTCTACAAAACAAAGGTGCACAATCTGCTGTGCAATTTACAGACTAGGCTACCAGAGCTTCTTTCTTGGGGAACAATAAACCACAGGAACTGACTGCAAGTAAAGTGAATGTAAAAAAGGTTAAGAATTATTGGCTGCCTGGGCTTAAAAGGGTTATAGTAGCTTCTAAAAAGGAATCCTGGAAAGTGATTCTAAGAGAACTTGTGTAAAAAATTCACGGAGAGAGTGTGCACATTCAAGCATGTGAGCAAACACACACACATACACACAGAGCAAACTCCTAAGAGCAGATCCCAAAAAATTACAGAAGATGGAAAGGCCAGTTAGGTCACATAGCTCAGGAGCACAAAGAAGCCCAGGGATTCTGGGAGCCTGCAGATTTAAGTCATACAACAGCATTTAAATATATTTGTCTGCTTATAATTTCCATTGCAAATGTGATTAGTTTGCTTGAATAAATAGGAATATGATGTGTTGGCCACGTTTTTCTCTTGAGGGTTATCACAGAGTTTTGATTAAGGACAAATGTTTGAAATGTTGGGTGTATTTAAGTTCACTATGCTTAAAATGAGCTAAGAAGTTGCATAGGCTTGATTAAAGGGTTGCCTTCCTGAACTTAAAATTAAAAGCAATAAATTCCAATGATTCAAGTGATTGGGACCAAATATGGTCCGCTGCCAGAAAAGGTGAAATGGAGTCCAAAGAGGCTGAAATGGTGTCCAGGTTTGAAGAAATAGTGAAAGAGAAAAGGTAAACATATTCTTGTTGTCTTTTCTCTGGGTTCGTGAACGATTCACCTTACACAGAATTCCTTTTAAGTAGAACTTCATTTCATGATAGGCTCCCAGGACAATCTGTTTTGTCATTTCCAAAGAGATGCCTGGCAAGCTCTCCAAGGTGGGGATGTTAACTGTTGTCAAATGCGTAGACAAAAAAAAGACATCAGGAAAAGTGAAGTCTCTGGAGTTTTTATAAACACACACAACTACATACTCTTATGATGTATCATTTTACTCACACACGTGGGTAGGTGCAGCAAACTCTCCCAGGCAGTTTCTAAAACGGAAGTCAAGGTGACTTCCACCCGCTGGAGGGCGGAGCCCTTGAAAGCTAATAGGATCAAGCTTCAGCCTGCTGTGTCCCCTGGAAGGAGAAGTGGGGTCACAAGCCCCAGGGTCGCAGGCTGCGTTGCCGAAGGTCCTGCAGGCACTGAGCCTTCTCCTGCCCCGGGTGCACCAGGCGCTGCCCGTGCATCCGCTCCCAGCTGGCCCGGGTTCAGTCCCAGCCGGGCACCAAGTCCCTTCCAGGGCCAAGTGGGAGGGTCCAGCCGGCAAAGTTTCTGATGCAAGATCGGGCTTCAGTCCCGGCATGGGCCGCAAGTGGGGCCCTGGAGGTGAAGTCACCTCGGCAGCTGCGAGACTGAGCAGCGGCTCCCGACCTCCTTTTTCGTTTCTTTCCCCTCTGCATGTGAGTGTCCAAACCTCGGGAGCCCCCGGGCCTGTCCGCCGCGCTGGGACCCAGGCTCGGCCCGCCGCTTACCTTGGCCGCCATGCTTCCCCCGTGTGGGCTCCGGCGGGACGCACTCGCTGGCTGGCTCGCCCTGCGGCCCGGGCC